CGGCTGTCGTAAGCAATGCGAAAAAAAAAATCAAATAAAATCATAAATAAATAAATAGAAGTAGATTTTTGGAAAACATTTAGCAAAATCAACAGCAACGGGCAACGGGCGCCTCTGCGCGCATTAATCTCCATTAAAAGGGAATTTCAATGAATTTACATTCGGGCACAATGTGGGACAATGTGGCGCCAGTGGCAACCATTCGCTGGCTTTTAAGTTCGACACTCAAATTGTCCACACTTAGCGGGTAGACAGTGACAGTGAAGCTACCGCACTTACGCGCCGCTCTGTACTTATATTTGCAATAATTCGTAGGTAAATAAATGCCAAAAATGCTTAGAGAAAATGATTTTATGCTCGACTCCGACTCTGGCTCCGGCTCCGACTCCGAGTCCGCCCCACCCAAAGGCAGACGGCAACCACGAAGGCGACGCCGCAGCGCAAACATTTTAGTCGCCCCAAACGCTAATGGGTAAACAGCTGCGGATGCGGTGAAGATCCAAAAGCTGAAGCTGTAGTTGAAGTTGGGCGCGTTTTTGGGCGCGTTTTAAAACGCGTCATGCTTTTGGAAAGCTACCGCACGGAAATGGGCACTCGAGGCGAGCAAATCTAGTGATTAGCGTACGATTTCATGTAGATTGGTTTTCCCAAGATAAGCCGCCGATCCGCCAGTTATAGTAAAAATATTTGATTTATCAATTTGCCACAGCTGCCTATCAAGATGGTATTAAGCTCTAATCATAGACGTTGATTTACCAGGCGACTGCCAACGTTGGGCCTACCATCCAAATGCCTTGTTATAAATAACATGTTACGAGTGCGAGCCAACCAAAAGTCGTATATAACCGTATATAGCATGTATTATTAACAACAATTGCATTTATCAACAATAACAACAACAACAACCACTTGGAAATCACCTTACATTTTCTGTTATTTTGATTTTGATTTGTGTGCTCCGATAGCTCGGAGAGTGCCCAAAAGCGGAACACTCCGCCCTTCCAAATCGATGTGCTCGGTTCTAATACTATGACAAATCTGTTTACTTCACCTTCTTGAATTTCAGTTTCCAATTAACTTTAGTATTTCTATAACATATTGATAGCTAAGCGATTTCTTAAAAAAAAACCCGTATCGCTTGTAAAGTGATTCAATTATAATGAAATGATATTTTGTTTCCTTATAGACATTGTGTCACCGACATTGATTAGCCAGCTATAACAAAATGATGATTGATATTGATAATAGCTCTACATGCATTACTAAGGGCACGGCTTGACGTCAAGCAAAGTCCAGAGCTGTGGCCTCTTCCGGTTATTCATGTTTATTTTTTTACGATTCTGAATGCGAAAAATCAGCCAGGAAGTGAGCGCACTAAAAAAACAACGTGTTCTATGGGTCAGTGTTAAATAATAATTGTGACTGTATGAATCAATTATGGACAAAAAAAAAGATATGCTTATAAAGAAAAAAAACCTCTATAGCAGGAGTCACTTTTTTGTACTGTTCTTTAGAAGATGAAGTCAAGCAATTGGCATTTAAATAAAGAAAGTTACGCCATTTTCAATATAAGTATCTTGATTCAATCAATTTTAGCTTAGCTAGCTCAAGTTCCGAGGTTTACTAAAAACAAAAATCAAAAACAATTTTGTTTTTAATTTGTAGCTTCCGACTTAATTTTTATTGAAAATGTGTTTCTATAAATCTAGTATTCAAATATAACAAAATGTTTTTTTTTTTTTATTTAATATAAAATCATGACTCTTGGCTCATTTTAACTATACGCTGTTGCTTTCAGTATGATTCTTATTATTTTCTTTAATGAAAGCAAATAATTTTATGTTTTTCTTACATTCTTATATTTTTTATTTCTGAGTTAATGTTTGCCTGTAATAATTCTCATGGGCTACTTTTTGTTTGCGCTTCATACACTTAATAGAGGGGAAATGGGATTAATTTAATTAAATAGGATTTTAGAAAACACCTGATTGGTGTTTTTATACAAAGTAAGAGACATTATTTTGGTAACTTGAAGTACATGTCCTATATTAAAGTATATACATATACCGAATATTGCCACATTTAGACGCTTCCTTAAAACCTTTTCATTTCGCCACACTAATCACATATTTAATCAAAAATCATGCTGATGATAAACCACACTTTAAAAGTAAGTAGTATAATACATATTTTAGCCCCCCTCCTTCGGGAATGAGTCACAACAATCGGGCATATCACAATTCGGTCAATGGCTTGCGTCAATGAGGTGCTCATTAATGAGCATTATCGACCATTGGGTCGTCACCGTTGCGCTCGCCATTTGCACAACAAAGCGAAATTTTAAAAAAGTCCGAAAATCCATCAAGAGCCGTTTGCAGTGTATTGACTCAAAACGGTAGCCGCTCAACAGTGGCTAATGGTCATAATTAAACGTGGCTTATTTGCACAGTCCAAGTGGACGACCACAGTGAAGGGAAACTCATCAATGCAAACTTGGTCAACCCAACGGCAAAGGAGGCCGACTCAAAGCTTCTCTGCTCTTTCGGCTATCCAACTGCTTGTGTCGCCCATTTTGATACTCGTTCCCAAAGTGAAAGGGGCATCTGAACGCGACTTCATTTTAACATTTTTATAGTCTTATATGTTAGCGACTGGTATGGTGTTAAGGGGGCTTGGAAAATCTTAAAAACCAATTTCGATATATTATCACATTTTAAATAAAGCTTTTCAATCTAGGCTTCAGTTCATGTTAAGAAGGAACTGCGGCCAAATGAATTTAGGTTCGATTTATGCATCAAAATGCAAATACAACATAATTTGTCAGTGTTTTTTTTATGGTTTGAACCAGCTAACTGCTAAAGCTGGTTCGAATTTTATTTTCTTGTTGTTTGTTGTACCGAAATATTTGGCATCCGTACTCAAAATACAGGTTGGATTTGAACTCCACAAAATATGGCATCTATCTGTGTTAACATACAGGCAATTTTTAGGACCTATATTATTTATGCTTTGAAGCTGGATCTAACTTAAAAAGTTTTTAATGTTAGCTAAACAATTTTTGAATTTCTGTTTCATTAAATTTTGTGTATAACTGGGCTTAAGATTCTTGGACCTTGCCGCTGTAAAGCTTTTCCAAGAGTCGACCCAAGAACTAGGCCACTCAATATACCTTAAACTGAGACTGTGAGCGAGTATTGGGCAGTCGGTTGCACCCGACTAACTTGTTGAAGCCTTTTGCAATGCGCGCTAAATTAAGTTGTCTTAGTTACTTTTTTTTGCACTTGCATAAGGCAACGCGACATGGTCTTAATTTACAACTAATTGTCATATGACCGACTATCGATGGCCGTAATTTATATATATATAAAAGCGAAATCTCAGGGATTTGTTTTGCCATGTGCAGTCGACAGAGCCCCGTCTAATTGCTAGCTAACTGTACTTAAATATCTTTATAATTGACGCCAGTGGGTGTCATAAAATGCATGCAACGGCGTAATACCAGGAGTAAGTACACCCAGTCCATCGGTTGGCTGTTGTTTGAGCAAGCTTACGAGAAGGGCACCCCGAGACGCACCCCAAGACCCCCCTCCAAAGGCCCAAGTCAGCCAAACACCACCCGCAATAAAAAGCATTTATGTTATTTGTCAAGTTTATCGCAGCGTGGGTAACTCTTTATGTGCCTCTCTATGGCCAGCCACTGTGCCTAATTAAAGCCAATGGAGCTGGTGGTGTTGGTGGCTTCTTTATCGACTTGTAACGATCGTTGAATGTTGCGTTTATGGTTTTTTGTTTTTTTTTTTGTCGAATACCAGTAGCCCTCGGCTGCACGCTCTCATCATATATATTTCAGATTGGCTGTTTATTTATTTGATTTGTAGATTTCGTATTAGTTGCCTTCAATTTATGAGCCCGGACTGCATTTGTGGTTTACGATTTGGCATTTGCAGCGGGCTTCAAGGGGGTATATGATTGTGATTGCAATGGATGCACGGTAAACAACATAGTCAAAAGCACAAAACGGCAAACACAAACATCCGATAAAGATGCCTCCAAATGGGCCCTGGACTGGCTGGCAGTCGGATCGCGTCGACAAACAGAAGCCAAACGAGCTTGTCTCGCGGCACTAGAGTCGACCTGGGGGCCGGAAACAGTCAGGTGTAAGTCGTTATCGTCGTCGTCGTCGTCGTCGTCGTCGGCTTCGACGGGCTCTAATCAAAGCCAAGTGTCAGGCTGCTTGAGCTGCAAGTGTAGGGCCTGTGACGTTGATCAAAAGCGGCCGAACGATCCGTTCCAAACGTTTCTCGTTCTTTGGGTCAAACAAACGTTTTTAGTTGCCTTAATCCAAAGTGGCTACTGAGTTGCCTAGTTGCAGCCGCACACTCATTCTGCATGGGCAAACACTTCTTGTGGCATTTGGTCAACAACACTTTGCTGTTCCGACAGGGCTACTGATCGCCCCTCTCTCTCTCTTTCTCGCTCTGCCTTTCTGTCTCTGATCTCATGATTTGAGGCATCAAACTTGCGCAGCTCGCATTGCTGTCAATCTCCTGTGGCAAATAAACTCGAGTGTCTCATATGCAAATAAACAAATATTTGCTCTTCGCTTATTAAGTGAGTAACTGCGGTCAGCGACTGAGGTACAGCAGCAACAGCAGCAACAGCAGCAGCCGCAGCATCACATCAACGTTCTTTCGCATCGCTCACGCACTCACCTTTGACTGACTCATACACACCTGTGCATTGCAAATTGTTTGTTTTGGCTGTTTAATCGCTTTAATGGCTAGGCAATTAACATTTTTGTACCCAAGTGGCAGCGACAAAATTACAAAACTACCTAGCTTACAAGTGTAAAATGTTGCTCAAAAATAAAACAATTGTTTAATTTCGTGCATTGATACGTTTAAATTGCTAACGGCTTGACAGCGCCCTCTATAGTTCATATTGTGTTTGCCGATATATTGCGCTACCAAAGCCGATAATCGATACTTAAAAACAAGCAATTTTCTTATAAAACACCATTTAATTCGTTTAAAGCATTTCATGGAAATGTGGACTAATTTCAATATGTCACTATAATGCAGCTAACTGCACCCATTTACATTACAATAAATACAAAAGTACAATAAATTTTAAAACTGCACTGGCGCCTTTTCGGCTGGCTGCTGTGCACAGAGCTAACATTTATAAAATGTTATTTAAACAGTAACTACTCTTGTTGCCACATGCTTAGCCGCCTTTGGGGCCAGTGCGCTTAAAAACTAAACAAGTGTAGGTGAAACACACGGCGATCAGTCCAGTTAGCAACAACAACAAATCATTTACATTGTTGTTGTTTCGTTCGGTCCAAACTGCTGCCGTGGCCAATTTGTTGTTAATCTATTCCTTTGATGCCATATGACCAACCAGATTGCTTGTGATTTTCTCAATTTTCTTTAGATCGGGCATGTTTTCCGCCTTATACTGCACACACTGCAAGTAAATTTGTACGTACATCAGGACATTTCATTTATTGTTCAGCAAAATTTAATACCTTCACGTTGTCCGTCATTTTAAGCAGTATGTGTCCCTTGGTGTGCACGTATTTCATGGTGTACCGGCAGTTTTGCGGATTCGCCATGTACATGTTTTCGGCAGCGATTTCGAAGTCTTCCCAGTTTTTTACAAAAACCATGTTGGATTTAATTTATTAAATGCAAAAATGAAACAAAACAGCTGCGACAGCGAAATCCAGCAACAACACAAACGTCAAATGACAGCGTGTCATGAGCGAAATCGATATATCGATAGATACTTGTGTGCGATAGTTTAAGGGCTGCGATACATGGTTACTTTGACTCTTTTTAGACGTTTGCCAACACTGCAGTCATTTCTCACCAATCACGAAAATCGGTCGGTCGCCTGCTGTTCCCTCAATTTTTATTGTACAAAATGCGCTGAAAATAACGCGTTTTATTGTTAAAAGTGCTTTAAATTATACTCCAGCTATGTGGTTATGCCGTAGCTATAAAATACAAATGCTATGATCAGTGGTAACGTGCGAAAAAAGTTCGCGAAAAAATGAAAAGTAGTCAAATATACGTCGCAAATGGAGGGGGCAAGAGGATGATGGCCAAACATAGCCACAGCGAAAAACGCAAATAAGTGACACGCAGAACAACCAGAAAATGCAATTATATTAAAAATAATCGAGCTATATAATATACACCAAAAAGAAAACTTATTAACACTACGAGAACAAATAGCCAAACGACTGCACCTGTATTGACGTAGTATATGTTGTGTATGTAAGTGTGTGTGCATGTGTGGGTGCAGCACACACAGTAGCTGGACAGTGTTTTGTTGTTGTTTGGGGTTGAAAGCTGCATAACGCGTGACGTGTGACAGTGTGTACCCAACCCCACACACACACACATACACACAGCCACAGCCACCCACACTTGAATGCGTAATTAAGGAAGAGGCACAACATAGAGACCCAAAGCAAAGACAACAACAACAACAACACAAACATGATGGACAACGATGACACAATGCTCAATAACTGTGGACCACAGTCGGGCGCTGAAACGGTCTACGGCACCGAGGACAACAATATGGTCATGTCCGAGAAGGTATACATGCGTCTTATCAACTGATTCATGCGGGCAATGCTTATGTGATAAGACTTTTCATATCTTTTAACAAGTAAAGTGCGCTGCTCATAATTGTACCCAGACACAAGATAATGTGCCATGCCTCACAGGAAGTGCCACTATCTCAGTTACATATGTCTGCCAACTATTTAACTTTGCCATTATCTCTCACTTCCGCTCTCTCTCTCTCTCTCTCTTTGGCTTGTTTATTATGCATCAGCTGACCCCAGCGCGAGTCATTGACATTCACAAGTGCCAAAAGGCTGGCCGAAAAAGGAGTTTAAAGAGTGAGCGGAAAAGAGAGAGGTAGTTGTGGCAGAGAATAGAAATCAATAAAACGTCCGTTTGCCTAATTTAATGTTGCCTCACGCAATTCGCTTAGCAGTTTATTTTTATGTACATTCCCCTCTTTCGTTTCAATCCCCAACACCCCCCTTGATTATATACTCAGTACTCATTGCGCAAAAGAAAAGGGTATAATGTTTATGTGTGGATCAACGTGACCCAAAATAGTATATATTTATTCTCTCATAATCTGCAACCTGGCCTTATCATACCCGTAGATATGTCCGTTCGTCCAATAGCTAGGGAAAATATTAATTAACTTCCCGTTGCTCTAAAGTCAATGCCAATGCTTATCGGTTTTTAGTTAAGGTTTTTTTTAGCCTAGGGTATCTCCTAGTCGAACACTCTGCTAGAGCATGCCCACTTGTTCTATTTTGTCTGGCAATCAAAGAGTCGTCATTGATTTTTGCACTTAATCAGCTTCGCAAGGGATTTAATCGGATTGCCCTCCATGCAAATGCGCAGAGCATGAGCTCATCATCAAGCTGTCACTTACAAATCCCCTTAGACAGACACATGCTTCACATGCCGCTTGAGTTACCTGTTAACTGCGTCAAACCAACTCGATTTAACTCATTCAAGCGACTCCGTCACAGCTGTGACGCATTTGCTATCCAACTTTGTTGTTGCTGCTGCTGCTGCTGCTTGGCTATAAAACTGGTTAAACTTCCAACAACTGGAGAGCAGAAATAGCTTCTATGCATAAGCCAGCTGGCCTTATAAGCATATCGAGCCCAGCCTTGAATAAAACATTATTTTATTGCGGAAAACCAAACATGATTAAACGCCTTAACCAGAGTTTGAATACAATTCTACTAGTAGAAGGTACAGCAATTTTGTTATCAGACATTTCCGATGCCATAAAGTATATACCTACTATAATTAATTTTCAATTTATGTTTTGGCTTTATTTTACTATGTTTTATGAATAATTTCTACCACCTCGCCATTTATCTGCCAGGGTATTTTGATGTTCGGCAGTCCGAAATTAATTTTTATTTATTTTGTTTCACGTAATTTATATGTTTAATTTGAAACTTAAATATTAAATATCATTTCATGCTCATATTTAATATGCACTCGCATTTCTCATAGGGGTATGCACTTTGTGGGTTTCAATTATTTTTATTTGTCTTATGTGTTAACTTTAATTTGATTTAACTTGAGTTTTTTATATGTGCCCTTTTCTCTTTCTTTTTTCTTTCTCTTTCAGAATGAACAGGTTGTCAGCATCGTGAGTTCAAAATTTTTGGTGCCTTTTTAATTGTTGTCTCACTTTATATGTTAACTAAACGCACGATATTTCAAATTGTTTATTTCGTTAATTTTCTTTTTTAATATTTTTTCTGTTACGCTTTGCAACTATTTTGAGTTTTATTTGTTTTTTAACTAACCGAATGGCATGGGAAGCTTTCAACTTTGACCTTTCCAGCTTTCCCATTGCCTGCTCTTACTTAACCATCTGTGGGGTCATCGCGGGGTCTGGCAACGCTTAACTTGCCTTTCATTTGGGAGTTTTTCATTCATAAAACAAAGCAGCCGCAAACCGCAATTACAAAAGGTTTTAATTGAGACATTAAAAGTGCGACCGTGTTACTCTAATTTCTCTCCTTCTCTCTATCTATCTCTATCTCGCACTAACTTTGTCTTGTCGTTGTTGTTTCTGTGGCTTTGCATTTGAAATTGATGCACTTCTCTTTGACTCCTTCACTCTACAGGTGCAGCAGCTGGCTGGCAGCATTTATCAGGAGTTCGAGCGAATGATCAATCGCTACGACGAGGATGTGGTTAAGAACCTAATGCCGCTGCTTGTAAACGTGCTGGAGTGCCTGGATGCCTCCTATCGCATCAATCAAGAACAGGATGTCGAGGTGGAGTTGCTGCGCGAGGACAATGAACAGCTGGTTACCCAGTATGAGCGCGAGAAGAGCGCGCGCAAGCAGTCCGAGCAAAAAGTAAGACAAGCTCGAAAGTTGCAATTGAAATCAGCAATTCATAAAAACGTTTCACTTAATGCAGCTGCTGGAGGCGGAGGACTTGGCTGAACAGGAGAACAAAGAGCTGGCAAGCCGTCTGGAGTCCCTAGAGAGCATAGTGCGCATGCTGGAGCTGAAGCACAAGAACAGCGTGGAGCATGCCAGTCGCCTGGAGGAGCGAGAGGCGGACCTCAAAAAGGTAAAGCAGCCAGCCATAAACCAGTTGTTGACCTTTGCTAACTTTCATCTTGAACTCACACACACAATTCCACACATAGGAATATGCCAGGCTGCACGAACGCTACACAGAACTGTTCAAGAACCATGTGGACTACATGGAACGTACCAAAATGCTGATGGGCTCGACGCACTCACAAATGAGCAATGCCTCCGATCGCATGGAGGTGAGTCGGGCGCGACTTAACCCAGTGGCGCGCAGCTCCGGCCCCGTCTCCTATGGCTTTGCCTCGCTGGAGAATTCTGTTATGCTGGACACGGAGACGATTTGCAGCGTAGGCAGCCAGTCGGATGATTCGGGACCGCCATCCCTGCAGAATGAACTAGATAATTTGGCTGGCACCGTGGAACGTGGCGCCGCAACAGATGCGCTGCAGCAACAACATCAGGCCACCTCGCCGCAGAGTCCAGATATGAGTCCCGTTGTGCCAAATGTGCCCGCAAATGGTAGGTGGAGGCGTCTACCATCTGGCTGAACCTTTAGCTAACCTGCAACTCTACTAATTTTCCAACAAATTTTCTACTTTCTTTTGTGTTTGTGTTAACTTCACTAAAAAAAAAAACCAAACAAAAACAAAACGAACCCGCCAATACATAAAATAAACCCGAACCAATCCAAGTTGGTCGTTCGACCACCAAAAAGGAACAGCGCTCGGACAATAATCTATACCAAGAATTGTCCTTCCAGGATAACGAAGAGAGCGAAGAGAATGAGATTGTTACAGGTAAGCGATAGATCCCTGCTCGGACGCCAATTAGATTTCGAGCACGCGCTTGCCTCAAAGTTTTCTCAATGCAATCTTTTAATTTCTCTTTTGTCTCTCTTTGAATGTTTGCTATGCACAAACACAAACGCACACTCAAATCTGCTGGGACTCCATGGTTACTTGTCCACTTGTCTCACCATCTTTCTCTTTCTCTCTCTCTCTGTGTCTCTTCCCGCAATAGGCAGCTGGGTACATCCCGGAGAGTACGCATCCTCAGGTAGGTACCACACACAAGACCAACTCCAAGAACAACAACCACAACAAACTCAACCACCAACACCATATAATTCCTACATATATGGAATCATCTATATAACCTGTAAATACATCAAATATCATACGATAATCGACTGAACAAAAAAAAATATATAAGAATATATAGAAAACAGGCGGATACTCTAACGAAACTTGTTTTGTGATATGTGTTGGAATTGATGTGCTCGAGATACTGTTGTCACCATTGCAAAGCCTAATAAAATATCATATTTATTGACCTCTAATGAAATTTTAAATTTCTCTTTTTATACCAAAACCATTTTACTTATTCCAAAATCCTTGTTCCCAAACAACAACCCAAAAAAAAAAAACTCTTTTTGTACAAAAACCAAACACAAAACACCGACACCTACAACAAAAAAATATCAAAGCTAACGACAACTATTTTGGTAAGTTTTCAAGTGCGATACGATTTATTCATACCTAAAGTTTCCATACTATTCTAGTCTCTTTCTATGTAAGTAGTGTCTCTTAGTCTCTAGTCTCTCTCTTTCTCTGCGCCTTTAAACTTCAGTT